GTGAGAGGTTCCTTAGGGATCGAGTCGTCTCACAGATTGCCAGGGATGCGCCACGGGTTTCACCAAGGGTCTGAGGAAATGCAGCCTAAACGGGTCGGCTTCCTGGAAAGCTTCTGCCGCACTTGCGGAATGGGGGGGGAAAAAACAACATGGCAAAACAAGCACCGCGAAATCGAAGTCACGCTTCACGCTTCACACCTGAAAACTAGACATGGGTACTCCCTACCCTTTCAGCATCATTTGCATGGGCGTTTATGCAACCAAGCATTTCGAGGGTGTCCCGAAAAAACATCTTGAACCACAGACCCCATCCAGCCAAAGTCCCAAAAAAAACACCTCGCAGCAAACTCCCTAAGCCTTGCTCCAATGGGCTCCATTGGCGAAGACCCCAGAGCAACTGTCGGCTTCTCTTTTGGGGAAACCAAAGCCCAGGTCCAAACCTCCAAAGGCTCTTGGAACCCTTCCAAGGGTGAGATGATTCCCCTCCTTCTGTGGGCGGTAAGGGTCCCTTGGTCACCTAAACACATCAGTTTGGTTGGGCGTCAAGATCTAGTTGGGCCTTGCAAATGCGTGATGTCCTGCAGGTTGCCTCCTTTGACAGTTCCCGTTTGACTTCTTTTGGGCTTCCTCTTGGAAATTGACATGCCATTTGTACGCAATCGTTGCACATGAACCAAGGCCTGCGCTTCGCTTCCAGCAACCATCTCCCCCTTCTTCTCATCCTGCCCGCAAGTTGGCAAGTCTTCGGGGACTGCACCATGGGGGCTCTCACCGCGACAGAAACCGAACCTTAGACTTACGAAGGAAAAACGTATGGGAAAGTCCCATTATTTTCCCCCCTCACAGCACCTCTGAAAAAGGGTACAACCATCGCAAAGAGCCACTCGAGTTGTGCATCGAGATCCATGCTCATCGTCGTGGAACCACCTCTACTCTCTGCCAGAATCCCACTCCCCAACCGAAAAACCGCCGTGCTTTTCGCGCAGAAGCGTTGGGGTCGATAGGCTCCGGGCGTTCCTGGAGCCACCAAAAGGCTTGGGGTTGGGGACGTCACCTGAGCTTAGATCTTTTCCGCAAGTCATGGCAGACGCATCTGCAGAATCAACAAGTCCAAACTGATACGCCCATGAACTACTATGGAGGAGGTTCATATGGGTATGGCTCAAAAAAACCGGTACTAAAATGGAACCCTGGTAAGTGGAAACATGGACCAAAACCTGCGTAACCCTAGCTCTTTAATTTTGACCCACAGCCATATCAGGTTTGGCCGGTAAAAAACCATGTGGCCTGCGTACATCTGAGCTTACAATTTGTTCTATGTGTTTGTTTGTTTGTTTGTTTGCTTGTTTCTTTCTTTCTTTCTTTCTTTCTTTCTTTGTTTGTTTGTTTGTTTGCTTGCTTGCTTGTTTGTTTGTTTGGTTGTCTCTCTGAGGGCACTCTTCTTGGTTTTGCGGGTGCGTGAGACAATGTGGCCGACATGCTGGGCTTGATCCCCATCACGGCCAATGGTATCCGCACGAATTACCTTGATTCGCCGACTGACAATGATGAAAGCAAGTCAGGAGCCTTAATCAAGGACAACCAAACAGTGGCTTCATGATTGGAGATAGGCCCTACAAAACACATATCCTTCTCTTGTTTGCTTCATGTTCCGTCACCAATCTGCAACTTGTATCCTAACACTACACCCGGTGAGAACTGATTTGGCCTTCTTTTCGCCCTGCAACACTCGCGCTGTTTTGGGTTTCGCGAGTTTCTGAACTCAGCACGTTAAGCGGATTGTTTCGGTCAAACCCATGAGCACCAAAAAGACGTCTTGCATTTGCATGTTTGGTGCCACAAAAAGAGACATATCTATGACTATGTGCCTTTACAATAAAGATGGGAAAATAAGACACATCCTCAATTTGGCAACGGAAAGAGGTCTGGGTCTGGGTGCGATCCCCACCCTGGATATGGTTACCAACCCTGCCCAGGTGAGATAGCAATTTCATCCGCCCAGGTGGATGAAATGCCCAGCTGATGAATATCCAACTCCCCCCCTTTTACCCCACCGCAAAGCCAGCTCATCTTGAATTGGCCCAAAAGGTGATATTTACATCAGACGTATAGTTCGCCCTGCAAGCCCCGGCCAGTTTCTCTCTTTCTCTCTCTCTCCCTCTCGATGTGTCTTTCTCTCTCGCTCTCTCTCTCTCTCTCTCTCTCTCTCTCTCTGTCTCTCCCTCTCTCTGACTCTCTCTGTCTCTCTCTCTCTCTCTCTCGCTTTCTCGCTCTCCCTCTGCCTCAAAGCAAGCGTTTGAATCCAGGAATCTTAGTGCTCAAACAAAAACATCTCATCACTGATTGGGGGTTCCGATGATGTGTGTGTGTGTGTATACAATTGCGTCGTTCCCATGTTACACTCTCTTTGAATGGAACCATTCCCGCCGCCGCCCCCCCCCCCCCCGCGCTCCGAACGCATGGCCAGCGCTGCAACGAAGACATTTGCCAGGCGCCACATGGCTAGCCTGGCGCGCGCGCGCGGGGGTCCGTGCTCCGTCGCGGGCGGCACCGACCGCCGAGATTTCAGCAGAAATGAAAGGAATCCCCGTCTCAGGGCTGTCCTCAGATGCCCCGCTAACAGTGACTAACTTTTGGTGAATTAAATGGAAACTACCACTAAACACTAAAGGCTAAATGCTAAAAAGCTAAGGGGATGGCCGGGAACCAAAAAGTAACAAGGGGGCCTCCTCATAAATGACTGGGGGTCTCATTGACCGGGGGTCAACATTGCACGTGGTTCAAGGGAGGAGGGTCAAAATATGACTAAACTTAAAACACAATGGACACCCGGAAATTGCGATTTACTGTTGAGAAAACAGAAACAACATTTCCGGGTCTCACAATCTTTACGATCTCTAAATCCCCCGGGAAAATTAATGTTTGACCCGCTGTTGAAAGCTTGGATGTGAAGGAGCATGTTTCAAGCTGTCGGGTCGAAACTTCGCACGAGGCCACTTTTCGCACGCTTTGCAAGAAAGTGATCCCAAGAAAGTGATCCCACCCAACACATGGTAAGCACCCAACACGTGGTAAGCAGCACCCCCACCCAAGTGATCCCAACACGTGGTATTTGTTGGGGGGGACCACTTGGGTGGTGACGCTTACCATGTGTTGGGTGCGATGATTTGGGCGGGGGCGCTGAACAACCCGCCCAAGCAAGTGATCCCACCCAACACGTGGAAAACACTCCACCCAAGTGACGCACTCAACACATGGTAATCACCGTGGCCCACACATGGTAAGCACCTTCCAAGCGATCCCAAGCAAGCCCCCCGCCCAAGTTTCAACTGTTTTGCATTTCAATATTTCTTGGCTTTGTGCCATGATAAACATCCCGCCGGGTCGTTTTCCGTCGGTCATTTTTGTCCGGCATTGGCGTTTCGCCTAGCGTTTTCACCCCTTTTCAACAGCAAAAAGGGATTCTTGCGCACGGTCATGCACGGTCGTTTCGGTGCCACCATTTATTGAAAACATTGGCAGGCATGGGTTCATCACGCACCTCCGTTTCGCTTTTTTGTGTGGCTTCCTTTGAAACCTTTCTTGAATGCTGCGCCAACCGGGTCATATTCAAGGGATCACAAATGTGCTTTGCCAGGGATAAACCTAAGAATCACAGCCAACAAATCCGATCTGCTTAAACAGCTTGAACTCAAAGGCCATGCACCGTCTCATTGCCTAACAGGCACCCAGTCTTGATAGGTGCATAACGTTGACCCCTGAATAATAACTCCGCCCTCCTTTAATAAAGACTGTCCTCTCCCTGAATAGCCGACTACTTGAAAGGGGCCCAACCTCCCCTGGTTCATTGTTGGCACCCACCAAAGCCCCCCAAATCCAAAAAATACACATCCCACACGCAAATGTATTGCCAACACTTGTACCTCTACGACCAAAACCGGGTTTTGGAAACAAAGCAGCCGGAACGGCAAATGTCCCCTCCAGCTCGCGGACTGGAGAGGACCGGAGACCATTAGGTTGATGCGGGGCAAGGGGGACGCTCCCAAAACTGGTTTGTCTGGACCTTGTCGACCTTGATTGGGGGGGGGAGGAAATCAGCAGTAAACTTTAGTTGGTTGATTGCTTGCAGGGGTGTCCAATTTAAGAGAGCAAGCATCCTTCAATTTGTGTGGGAAATATCCCCCCAATTTCTTCACGAAGTTTACGAAGCCGGGTTCAACGCTAAGTCAACTCTCTGCCCGTCGCTTCGAAACAAACACCCTGCCTTTGCTGGCCACGAGCAGCTACAGTTTCTATAAATTTAGCAGAATCGTCGCGCGTCGAACGCGCTTGATCTGGAGATGTTGCATCGAGCCACGGTGCCAAAATGCACTGCGCAACGGAGATGTAGAAATAACGAACGCCCCATACAGAGATCAGATCCTTCCGTGGTTGCACGCGACATAGCGCACGAGATCAGATAGGGAGTGGCAAGTACATGGCAGAGCTGGCCAAAATAGTTCACAAATGACTTGGGCGTTCCCCCGGCAGTACAACCAGGGGATGATGGGATTGGAACGACTGCCCCAAGAGGACAATCTGCTTAGTCCAAAAGGGGGGCCACTGTCACGCTGCAGCACAAGATGCAAGCAACATTGGACTCCTCAGTTGTCCAGCGGCACCTTTGTTTTGCGGGGGCAGTGTCCCTCGAACACATCAACCAATATAAAGAGTTCAAGTCTGCTTTCTCCGCGGCTACTCGGAATGTAAGACTCAGAATTTGGCCAACAGAAGTTAGGGTTCGGCGGTTCGGTGCATAGTTTGCCGCAGACTCCCAACGCAAGTTGTAGATTGGGAACCGACAAAGGTCCCTTCTGGGTTCCTTCTTTCCGATTCTGTGAATATGCCCTCAATCGAAAAGAACTCTCCCTCAATATGGCTGTGTTCTTTTTGAGGGCACGCTTTCTGGGGGTCCAAAGGGAACCAAAAGGCAAACATCGGATTTTTAGCAATCCCGCTATTTTCAAACAAACCCTGATATATGGCGCAGTGTCCCTAACCCCCCCCCCCCCAGCCCCCCACCCATGGTAGTCATACAGGTAGAGCTGATGTCTACTGCCACTTCCATCAAGGACCCCAGGCTCAAGGTTGGTGCCCAGAAACCCTTTCGAAGCGCACCGACGGGATAACTGCGCATGGGGTCCCAACCCTTCAAACAGCAAAGAGTTATCTTATTCTATTCATTTATTATTATGATTTATGTATTTGATTTATTTATTTTATTTAAAAAAGGAAGAACACACGAATCACCCGCAAACAGAAAAGTCGATGGTTGGAAAGTCCCGCAACCTCCTTCCAGGGCTCGCTCCCCGCTCCGCCTTCGGCCGCCCAGACCCGGCGCCCTGAGTTATTGGGCAACCTCACCTCATTTCTTTGACCTTCAACCCGAAGCCCAGGAATCTGAGGTGTTCTAACATCATTTCCCAATTGGTGCTTAGGGATGGTTTCTCATGTTCCCACAAAAGCCAGGGGTTCAATCCCCCAAGCCAATCCAAATCAATTGAGGGTTACCTCATTGGGGTAAAGATGCAAGATGGGCACAAACCTTGACCCACGGACAAGCGCATGTGCCATTAAAAGAGAACGCATCTTGCAAATAGCACCTCACACACACAACAGGGTGAAGCTGGAAAATAAAATGCAACTGCTTGCAGGTGAAAGAAGTTCGTCACAATTATGTTTATGTAATTTTGTATATGGTTTGTGTATGTGTAATTATAGGTGATTGACTGATTGACCTTTGTGTGTTCAACATAACATGTCTGACATGTAGATAATTAGATGGACAGACAGGCAGGCAGCAGGCAGACAGACAGACAGAAAAACAGATCACACAGCAGAAAGAAAAAGAGCATGTGTCTCTTTCGGTGTGAGTTCCTTCGCAGGTTCAGCCATCGGTAAAAAGGCTCCGCAGACAGAGCCCCCTGATCTCCGTTAGCTCCCGTCAGGCTGTTGGTCAGTCACGACTCACCGCAATCGAGGAAAGAAACTGTTTAGGCATCGGTAAAAAGGCTCAGCAGACAGAGCCCCCTGATCTCCGTTAGCTCCCGTCAGGCTGTTGGTCAGTCACGACTCGCCGCAATCGATGAAAGAAACTCTGCGACCACAGCAAACCTGGTAGCACCCAATGCCCGCAGGCATACCAAGCGCCAAGACCTCCTACAGCCCATGTAAACATACGTCACCCTTTCTGTTGGCGACTTGAAACTATGCCGCAAAAACATGGGCATCAATTAATTTACACAAACAACCAAATCAAGCCACACCAATCAGCATACCAGCACTCTTGGTTCAAACGACCTAAGTAGTGCAAGGTGACCTCGGTCTGTTGAAAATCAAGGGGGCCACACTGGCAGTTGCCGCAGCAGCAGAGCATGGCCGTTCTGGCTCCTGTGGCTTGCTTGCTAGGAATACCGCCATGTGATACGTGTATCATATATGTGTGCGCGTGGTCATATATTAGCCGTGTCGCACAGCATTCACTCCTGAATGGAGTCGTGCGTATCTGTATTTCAATTGACGCATATACGTGTATTATATACATAGTACATGTATATATATATATATATGTATATATACAAATGGCTTAGACAGATATACACATATGAATAATGCAATTGCACACTATTAACAGATAATATGATGTGAAGAGGCATACTTGGGCATTTAGATGCACGTAGTTCGGGTCCATGGTTTGCATGCCCCAGGCCAGCCCTGGTCCCAGCGTGCCCGCAGGGGCAAGGAGCAAGCGGTGAAGACTGTCGCATGGCACGCGCACAAACACGCGCACACGCACACATGTATCTGTGTATGCATGTATACATATATACAGGTAGTTGATATTATATGTATGCATTCGGGTGTAATGTGTTTAAACAAACAGACAGACAGACAGACACACAGACAGACAGACAAACAAACAAACCAAGAAATACAAAAACAATTCAGACAGAAAACACTAAATAAGACCAGAAATATAAGCTGTAAGAAACACAAGAAGAAAAAACAAAAGAAAGAACAAACAAAAGAAAGAACCAAAGAAATAAAGATGGATAGAGAGATAGATAGACAGACAGACAGACAGACAGACAAATACATAGACAGATAAGATAAGATAGAATAAGGTGAGATAAGATAGATGGATGGATAGATAGGGCAAGGCAAGACAAGACAAGATAAGATAAGATAAGATAAGATGATAAGTAGATAGATAGATAGATAGACAGATAGACAGATAGACAGATAGACAGATAGACAGATAGACAGATAGACAGATAGACAGATAGACAGATAGACAGATAGACAGATAGACAGACAGATAGATAGATAGATAGATAGATAGATAGATAAGACAGATAAGATAGATAAGATACATAGATAGACAAATAGATAGATAGATAGATAGATAGATAGATAGATAGATAGATAGATAGATAGGTAGATTAGATACATAGATAGATT